CCATGTTAAAGTCGACCCTACCTGTTTGTTTAGATTTGTCTTGTACGGGCAGATGAAACATATAGCTTACGTTATTAATTTGACTCAACGGGGACAAGGGTGCTGCACGTAACATCAACCACTGTTTTTTTTCTGAATCAGGCCCTGATATTTAGGCTGTCGTGATGTAGCGCAAATATTGCTATCTGAGGCGTTAAACAACAAATAGACAAGGACAAAAAACACTTCACAATATTTCACAAACAACCTGAAACGAATTACTCACTGGTTTGTTTCCTGGTATAAGAAAATCTTTCCTGTTTGAAGTTATAAAATGATACCATGCAGAGAGTCAGATCATAAGAATCACGGGAAGCCATGATAGTACAGTGTACACTTCACACATAATAAACATACTTTTGGTAGCACGATATTAATGTTCAAATCAATTCATTGATTTATTGTTGAACATTACCATGTTGGTGATCATAGCGAATATAGCGAAAACAACGTTGAAAATAGTTTGATAAATCGCAATCAAGACAATTGAAGACTGATCGCGTGAAGATACTTCCTTTTCGCCCGTATAATACTTAAACAAAAACTCACTCAAGGAGAAAGAAGAAGTAGGATATAGACTGTATACATAGTCTCCACTATAAAAAGTTTGGTGAGACCCTCTGTACATATGCGTGTATACTTGCATAAGCGTATAAATAAAAATTATGTCTGGAGCAGACGCCAATGTAAATGTACACAAGTGTAAGTTTGCACTGTATATCTATGTTGTTATGTTAACGTTTATACCAATGCCAGATATAACACAACCATGTCTGTCTGTTGAATTGCCAACACTAAACTAATTGGCTACAGCTCTTCATTCTGAAGTTGGCGCTGTTCAGTATACAGCAGTACAAACTTTAATCCGAACATCCAGAGACCGTTTTCCAGGAATAACAAAATTGTGTACAGATTAAATTAAGCACATGTTGCCTCAAGCTGAACTTGTCGTACCATACCATGTCGTCATCAGATGCATTTCAATTCCTACCAAGTTAACCCGCCTCCGTGGTCTAGTGGTAGAGCGTCCGCCCGGAGAGCGGGAGGTACGGGGTTCGATTCCCGGCCGCGTCATACCAAAAGACGTTAAATGATGGTACTTGTTGTTACCCTGTCTGGCGCTCGGAGTCAGTATACTGTGTCTGAGTGGGGTATTCGTGTTTAACTGCAGCATGGTATCTCAGTGGGCTAGCACTATAAATCGGCATCCGTCCGGACTAGTACAAGCAGCCACACACACACACGTGCATGCACGTCGCTATATAAGTGCAATAATCTTGGACGCGACGTTAAACCCAATTTCACCTCACCTCACCTACCAAGTTAAATCTCAATCTTTCTTCGAAATCAGCCTTTGAATAACCAATCATGAAGGACGCACACAGTAGGTATGGTAACGCTCTTCTCATTCGTCTTTGATAGGAAAACAACCTTTCCGTGTTGAAAGTCATGAGCAGACTGATATGTGTGCCTTACACTTGACATTGTATTTACCCACTTTAGTTAATTTTCCTGTAAACGCAGAGTACCTTTCCATATTCTCACGTATGTCTAATTACACATTACTATATTTCTATCATGACGATTGAGGCATTGAACGCATTTATCATTTTCACAGTGAAACTGTAAGTGACCGGAACGTTTCGGTTTCCGACAGCGTCGTGGACGGTGATCAGTGTTTTTCACACATGTCCACTTAACAGGGATCTGAAACTGAGTTGGGAGGAAATATTTTCGAGAATAAATTTATCATAATTGTATTTATATATTTATTTAACCAACACTGCCCAACATAATTAGGAGCCACGTGCTGTTTTTGGTTATTTTTAAGAATTTTTATTTGTGTATAATATTATGTTTAACCGCTGTAAGTATTGCACAAATATATCAAACTTAAACTTATTACGAATTATATATCATGACTTTCAAGTAAACAATTATTATCCCATTTCATTTGGATTCAGGAAAAAGAAATCCAGCGTTTGTCTTAAAAGACTTATACTTGGATTGTGTGGCTCTACTGATCGAATTATTTCATGTCAAAGAGGACATTGTGCGTGCATGTTTATATGTGTGCGTCTGTGTCTGTGTCTTTGTATGTGTGTGTGGATGTCTGTGTGTGTGCAACTCGTGTGTGGTTGCGTGTTTACGTGTGTGCGTGCGTGTGATGTGCATGGGTGTAGGTTGATGTATAGGTGTGGATGTGGTGTGTTTACGTATGTGTATGTGTGTGTCTGTGCGTATGTTATTGTGTATGTGTGTGCGTACGTAGGTGAGCGTGTCTGTGTGTGTTAGTGTTGGAGTTGAAGTATTGACACACCAGGGGATGCAACAACGAAAGGGTTGCTTTCGAGAACATTTTATCATGAAAAAGATTATGTTACAACATCAGACTGAAGAAGAGTCCCAGTTGAACTGCAGATGAAATGGTGGAAATCTCTATTTATGGAAGGCATTGCATCCTCTTTTGAAATTATATAGAGGAAGTAAACTTCAGATCAGTAACTTACAGTATATATACATTCTTATTTTAACCAGAGATTCACAAAACAGGACTTTAATTATACCACTGAAAAAAACGACGTATATAAGCATAAATGAATAGGCTATATAAAAGCTGACACAATTTATGGATAACAACTTCTTTAAATAAGGTAGACACAATTTATGGATGACAACTTATTTAAAGAAGTTGTTATCCATAAATTGTGTTTACTTTGTCATCCGTCAACATCTAAGTAATGCCTATCAAACAAAGCTATATAAAGACTGAATGAATATTCGGCATGGTGTCTTGTCATTAACTCTAAGGATTTATTTCACTTGCACTTTACTTCCATACTTTGACACTTTTGAATAATGTTGAATTAAGTTTACGATTTCGTTTCAATTTAATAATACATGTTGGGGCAATTTTATATATGTTGTGAAAACATACCCCATACCCCAAAACATCACAACCATTCAAATAGCAATGTGTTTCAAACAGGCAAAAAATTCATTGAAATAATGGATTGTACAGAAATAGAGATTTTAAGATTTTATTTATACGAGTTTAGACTACATGGCTTGGTTGTACGACGTGTCAATCAGTAAATAGCCAAAACTGAAATCGTAAAGAAAATGAAACCCACAGGAACACATTGAACTCGATCATCATCAATAAATGAGAAAACATATAATAGTCATTGGAGAATGTCATTCTTTTGGTCGCCAGTTTCAGAGATACAGCCGCTTAGATACTATGCAGTGTAACCTACCCAATAACAACAGAGAGGATAGCTTAGATACTATGCAGTGTGACCTACCCAATAACAACAGAGAGGATAGCTTAGATACTATGCAGTGTGACCTACCCAATAACAACAGAGAGGATAGCTTAGATACTATGCAGTGTAACCTACCCAATAACAACAGAGAGGATAGCTTAGATACTATGCAGTGTGACCTACCCAATAACAACAGAGAGGATAGCTTAGATACTATGCAGTGTAACCTACCCAATAACAACAGAGAGGATAGCTTAGATACTATGCAGTGTGACCTACCCAATAACAACAGAGAGGATAGCTTAGATACTATGCAGTGTGACCTACCCAATAACAACAGAGAGGATAGCTTAGATACTATGCAGTGTAACCTACCCAATAACAACAGAGAGGATAGCTTAGATACTATGCAGTGTGACCTACCCAATAACAACAGAGAGGATAGCTTAGATACTATGCAGTGTAACCTACCCAATAACAACAGAGAGGATAGCTTAGATACTATGCAGTGTGACCTACCCAATAACAACAGAGAGGATAGCTTAGATACTATGCAGTGTGACCTACCCAATAACAACAGAGAGGATAGCTTAGATACTATGCAGTGTAACCTACCCAATAACAACAGAGAGGATAGCTTAGATACTATGCAGTGTGACCTACCCAATAACAACAGAGCGGATATTTGTCATTTGTTAAATAATCTCATCGAGTGCCCTGATAAATGTTTATGTTCTTTAGTAAATTATTTGCGGGTCACCAGATGGCATTTTGTCAATAACTGCCAAATGGTCTATATAATATGTATTTACTTACTGATCTTAGCCCGAAAAACCATAGTTCGAAGCAAACATACAAGAAGTAATACTGACATCAATTGTTTTTTCACAAACATCATCTTTGTAATTTCAGATTGTTGTTGTGCGGCATTAAATACTCAATATAACTTGATATATTTATTTATCATATAATGGGTAGGTTTCTCGGCAGGATAAAGCCAACGGATAAAAACGATATCCGTTTGGGTCATATGCGGATAGAGATGCAAATATCAAAGGTCAAGTAGAGACTACTTTTACTGTTTGTAAACAAACATGGCGTCGCCCTTGTCATTCGGCGATCGAGTCAGAATTAACCATCGGGAATATGGATAAACTACAGGGATAATTGCTATCATTAACAAAAGAACAGTCATATAAACTGAAAATCAGTGTCTAACTGTGACGTAGCTAAGGCATTTTATAAGTTTTGGCAACTTTGGCGATATAAATTTCGAAACAATTTTGCGAGGGCAAGAGGCCTAGCAAAGCGGGATCAGTAACCTTATATGCAGCTTGAAACCTTCTCCACAAATTAAAATAGTTGGATTTGGCCGAAATATGTTTGAATTGTTACCTTGTTTCGTTTTGTCGCTGTGTGTACATCTGACTACACTTCTTAACGTTATGATAGGACCGACCGACTGTCAACAACGTCTGACCGTGGCCGTGACATCTCATTGACTAGGGTTAGAGTAGCTTCCCTTTGACAAAGGGCAGTTACTCTAGCGGACAGACCGATGGATTGCCGCGAAAGGCAATTAAAAACAATTGTTGTTTTGCGTATATGTTGCTTCGCCACTGTATAAGAAACAGATTTCAGTTGGAACTATATTGGTTTCTGTCACTGTCCGACTGACACATCACTTACCCTGTGACGTAATAAATATTAATGCGCGCATTCCAGGAAAATTCGCAATGTTTCGGTAATGTTTGTGAGAGAGGGAAAGCGATTTTGAAGCACAGAATTAAAGAATGACATTATATGATAAAGAGCTTATCACGCTTGTGTTTTTGGGGATGGTACATATCCTGTATTAGGAATAAACACTATGTATTTAGCTCGCCAAGGCTCGCATAATACAATGTTTATTCCTAATGCAGGATATTTACCATCCCCAAACACACTCGCGTTATAACCTCTATGTCTCGGAACAACGCTATTGTATTGGTAGTATATTATTTGCACATAGAAAACAAACGTCAAGTTTTTACGCATCAATGCAATGTCGAATAACTGCCACCTGAGTCAACCATCAAATATGTTCCAGATGTCTCATTCCATAGATACGTGACCCTCGACTACTATGCAATGGGCATATCCGGAGTGATCTTTCTGGCGCTGTCCATCATCATTCATGTAACACAAAGATGGACACTCATCACTCTCTTCATCATCATCTGAGCATGGCAGTGTACAGTTCAGTACAGGACGACTGTCCCTGAGTGTGACCTGTTCATAGTCTTGGTCCAATTGTACTACCCTCTTTCTGGTGACAGTGTCTGTAGGATATAACTCATTCAACCGCTTGAAACGTTTCAAGTTAAGTGTGTGATACCCTGAACTGTTTTCAGCATACAAATGAGTGGGTTCAGTAGCTGAACAGCCAGTAACATCATAAAGTTGAGCTTGAACGATATTAGCTGTTGTAACTGGCGCCTGGGTGCTACGTTGTTGAAGACCTGCAATATGAATATTGTTTTTTAGTTGTGGTTCCGGTAATAAGGAAGGGGGGGGGGGGGGGGGGAGGACACGGGTGGCCCAGTCGTCGCTGTGCAGAGTTGCGTCCCTTCGGCTCGCCAGAAACTTCGGCCAAATTGTGTTTCTAGGGTTGTCAGCAGCATACCCGTGCTCGTGGGGTTTCACCGAAGGGGTATGACATGACATTACATCTAAAACCTGCATCACTTGGGGCGTTCCTTCCACATTAAGCTGTCACGCCGCGATATAACTGGAATACTGTTAAAAGCGGCGTTAAACCCAACTTACTCACTAACTCACTCATACATGAGGACGTGATAGGCAGCTTCGAATGTGTTTGTAAATAATATCATCGGTGTAACATGTTTATTCTCACTTGTTGTTCCATATCTGAGAGCATGAGTGGTAAACACCTTAGAATATCCGATTTGGTTGACATATCGTAGTTCGATTGAATAATGGTTCACATCGGATAAAAACACAACTCACTCGCTCACTATAACTGAAATCTGGTTTTATGAACATTTTTAATAATTTCACCTTGTTGTTTGATCCTTATCAGCACAATGGCAGCGATGATGAATACGGCCAGAACTAGGAGCAGGGCGGAGCACCCAGCGATGATGTAAAGGACAACTGCAGTAACATCTGAAACAATATGTTCCATTTAAGTTTCGAAAATTGAAACAAAAACTTAGTGGTTGAAAACTCGTCGTTGCACATATAAATGATTTCAATAAATAACACCTATATTTTGCCTTTTGCGCCTCATAAAATCTGTGTTGTTGAATAATCGAGATGATTCTTACGTTTAGGTATTATATGTACAGGTTAACATTATTAATTTCATCAAGTTAAAAGCAGTACCCGACAGAGTTATTATTCGACATTTGTCACTTAAAAAGGTTACTCGCAAGGTACCGTGAGTATAAACTGATGTAGTGGAGGCTACATCCGCCGTTTCAGATTTCGTTTGCACCTCAGTGGAAGGCACCATATTACTTGCGACCTTGGTACTCATTGGAGCTGAAACAGAAAACGCATACTAAGTGTTTAACAATTACGAAAATTATGTAAACTTCAGCGATTGTGCTTATGTCCGTGTCTGACAAAAAATATGCAAATGCCTACCATATATTCTAAATACTAATCTGCATGTCTAAAACATCCACGCTCAAAGCATGAGACTTATCTAAAAAATAATTAGAGTTGTCATAGCAAGTTCAGTGATGCCAAAAGGTGTGAAAGATGCTCATTCAAACATTTTCAACAAATTTAAGATCAGTAGCAGACAGAGTTATTATTGGACAATTGTCACCAAAACAGAAGTTGCTCGCAAGGTACCGTGAGTGTAAGCTGATGTTATGGAGGCTACACCCGCCGTTTCAGATTTCGTGTGCCCCTCAGTGGAAAGCACCATATTACTTTCGACCTTGGTACTCATAGGAGCTGAAACAGAAAAATGCATACCAAGCGTATAACAATCAGGTAAATTATATTCTGCTGGTGAACGTGGGAGAATACAAACTTCAGTAATTGTGCTTGTGTTCGTGTCTGACAAAATAGATGCAAATTCCTCCCACCTATTCTAAATACTAATCTGCATCTTTAAAACATAGCAGCTCAGGCCGATCATTCTTTGACGAGTGAAACATGTAAAGGTTTATAGCAGGCAACACAGATCTGTTACCATGCATACATATCTCAACATATTATTTTGTTTGAAAGAGTAGTATGAGATTTGAAGGAGGCAATGCGATATTCATCAGTCCCCATGACATTGTCCATTACCTCCCCCAGGAGAGAGTTTTATGGTTCAAAAACACACGGGGTTAACTTTTGAAAACAACTTCCTCGTAAAACCTGTTTAATACATTTACAACAATATTTCGTGTAATTCAGGAGATAATATTTTAGCCATAAGCGGGTTACATCATCGTAATTCTACCCTGCACGTGTACAACATTACCTTCCTGAGTTTGTTCTTTTAATGGAGAGAAATGTTACAGGATACATTGAATAGGACATGAATGTGTTACGCTACGAATATATACACGAAACGGTTGTGTTATTACAAAACAAACTTACCGGCTATAACAAGACTGTAAGCACTATGTTTGACTCTTCGTTTGAATTCAGTTAAGTCATAACGACCAGCATCCTCGTGTGTAACATTGCAGATCACAAACTTAACTGTCTTTCTGTAAGGTGAAGTAATAAGTCCCCTGACCGTGACTTTCGAGCGACTGTTTGGCCAGATGTAGACAGAGATAGATTGTATTGTGGCAAGGAGTCTACCGCCAGGAGACCAGAAACCCATCACAACGTCCGTCACGCTCCAGGTCGGGAATATTGTGACATCCTCCCCTTCAGCTGCGGTTGTGGTGGTCGAAGGTGAGACTGAAATAATCCGACTGAGGAACTGTTTCAGCTTTTCGAGTTTAAAATGGTTTGAATAAACATTTAAAATATATGTTAGTGACGTACAATTCTGTTTTCTTTTGGGAATTAATGTGATTTTTCTTCGATTATGAGGCCATCGATTTATGTCAATGTTATATCAAATAGTAAACGACGTTTTTTCCAATCATGACAGATGCCCTTATATTACTCACGTTTTGTTCCAAGTAAGTACTCCTCAGTATTATAGAAATCTGACCCTGCTCCAACTCCCACTTCAACCTGACACATGTATCTCTTTCCTTCATCACTCGTCCTCGTGTCACTAACCGTGAGGGTATTGGTGTAGTACCTGTACACGCTGTTAGTAAACGTCCCTGACCCTGACCTTATCTCATATCTTCCTCCATGGATTAGCCTTTTACCATTCTCACTCCAGGTAAAGGAGATGTACTTAATGTACTTTGCCACAGACAGGATGTAGCAAGTCATGTGGACATCACTGCCATACTGGACTCTCTCTGGAGACACGATGTAAGGATCCTGCATGTAACCTGTGTAAAAGTAGACACCATTTATTTAGTTATTGTTAGATTGTATTGTGGCAAGGAGTCTACCGCCAGGAGACCAGAAACCCATCACAACGTCCGTCACGCTCCAGGTCGGGAATATTGTGACATCCTCCCCTTCAGCTGCGGTTGTGGTGGTCGAAGGTGAGACTGAAATAATCCGACTGAGGAACTGTTTCAGCTTTTCGAGTTTAAAATGGTTTGAATAAACATTTAAAATATATGTTAGTGACGTACAATTCTGTTTTCTTTTGGGAATTAATGTGATTTTTCTTCGATTATGAGGCCATCGATTTATGTCAATGTTATATCAAATAGTAAACGACGTTTTTTCCAATCATGACAGATGCCCTTATATTACTCACGTTTTGTTCCAAGTAAGTACTCCTCAGTATTATAGAAATCTGACCCTGCTCCAACTCCCACTTCAACCTGACACATGTATCTCTTTCCTTCATCACTCGTCCTCGTGTCACTAACCGTGAGGGTATTGGTGTAGTACCTGTACACGCTGTTAGTAAACGTCCCTGACCCTGACCTTATCTCATATCTTCCTCCATGGATTAGCCTTTTACCATTCTCACTCCAGGTAAAGGAGATGTACTTAATGTACTTTGCCACAGACAGGATGTAGCAAGTCATGTGGACATCACTGCCATACTGGACTCTCTCTGGAGACACGATGTAAGGATCCTGCATGTAACCTGTGTAAAAGTAGACACCATTTATTTAGTTATTATTGATCATGGTGGTCGCAACGGTATATGCAACTTAACATACTTCTTACAACTATTTACACGGTTGCATGAGTGACAATAAATGCACAAGCATTGAAAATCGATGTTGCTGCTTACAGACAAACACAGACTAGATTTGTTTATATTTTATAAGTAGGAGTTATTAAATCCACGTAATGCCGCAATACCGATATTATCATTGTGGAGCAGTTGGAAAATATAATCAGAACTTGCTTGCTGGTATACCTACAACGCACAAATAAGTAAATTTGGCTTTAACAATCAAATCAACTTACTCTGATGTTCTGGCCGACGTCCAGTTACAAAAACAGACATAGAAGTGAAAGCAATTATCCACATCCTGGTGAATTCCATCCTCTCTTTCACCTTGAAACAAATAATTTATAACTAAACTCCAAACATCTACACATCATTGCCATTGTACAATGTATTTATTGAGGAGCATGTTGAGGAGCTGCTGCGACAGAGCAATATTGAATCGCAAATTGATATGTTTGTTTAATAGTCTTCTGATGTCAAGTAATACATGCAGAGAAGCGTGATTTCAATGGAATTAGTTCATGCTGTTCATTGAACTAGTGAATGAACTTACCAGGTCCATGGCGACTCCTTTCATACACGACTGACGCACTGCGGTGCCTCAAGTGTGTAATGACGTACACAAGAAATCAAGAAACAGTTCATGCAGGAAGTTATTGAGTTTGATTGACGTTATGAAACGATGAGGAAGGAACATATCTAAATACTTTATAATTTTCCTGACAGTGTTTAATTGTCATATTCAATAAAAAATAAACTTTTCTTTTGATTAAGTTAGTTAGTTAAGATTAGTTAGACTAGTTATGATTTTGGATTAAATGCTTGCTAACATTGATGATGTTTGAACAGCAGTATATAGGTACATGTACATCAATGGGAACTATAATACGAGCATGCGTAGGGTGCTGGCGGGTGACGGATCGTAATTGGGTGAATGTTGGGTTCAAAATAACGACAGCGCATTGACGGAAGTTACTTAGTGTCCGGCTGAAACGTAGATAGAATTTCCATGGGCCACTGGACCTATATGGACTAATGCAAATGCTTACAAAACATATCAGTTTAATCTGATCTAAAAACAGTCGTGTTGAAATGATGATCACTTTGTGCATAGTCTACATTGACTACATTCAACAAATGTACCCAAGTTGTGTTTATGTGTCGTAACAGACGCCGAGTAACTCACTTGTTGGAAGAGTCAACTAAAATAGGCATCTGGAGGTCAGGCTCTGACTTGGCTGATTGGATTTCAGTCCATCCGTATTCCGAGGATCATTGTTCGTAATTTCAGTCACTGGTTTGTCTGGTCCAGATGTGAATTTTTATGGATCCCGCGTGACTTAAATGGATCATTGTCAAACACTTTTCACCCATGGACCTACTTAATGTAACAGGGAATGAAACAGTAGCAGCATGTATACACCCCTGTCATCTTCATCTTGTGAAGCGATGTTCTGCTCTTGGCCATCCTGATTAAACCATGTGTATTTATATTACGCAAAAGACATCCCTGCATACCGTATACTGTGGTACTACTTTATTTACTACACACAACTGCATGTAGAATATACATAAACTTACGCAGTGACCCTCGTCTTGGTGATCCGCAACTCTGAACTGCTTGTCAACAGGGGCGTATGTGAATTGGATCGGGGGTCAAACACTGTAACTTGGTAGATTGCGTGTCACTGTAGTCCCGCGTTACTCATAATACCAACTACTGACTTGCATGACTCTTTTATTTGAAATCAGATAGATAAACAAAACTCACGCATGAGCCATATGTACATTGACATAACAAACGCATAACTATATTGACATTTCTTTAATTTACTTTGCTTTGATACACGTGGCTGTCAGTATTCTGTTTGCTGTCCTTTTCAAGGAAATTATTGAACTCACTGTTGTCTAAGGGAGCTGTGAGCTGTGAGCTGGCCCACTACTGATTTTATTTATTGCTTGTTCATTTTGTAATGCAAATACGCTTTGAAAGTAGAATCATTTTCCGTGAAATAAGGAACAGTGGGGAGAAATATATTCCCATCTTCCTCAATTTGCTTGTCGATGAAATCAAAATACATTAAAATCATCATGGTGGGTGAAGTATCCATAACCATGAAAAGCATTTCTCGATCACAGTTTATTATCTTACAGAGTAAATACATATACTGAACCGCAAAAGAAACGTCACCACGGATAGATGTATGAGAAACCTTATTTGTCCAAAGACTGTAAACATACTTTGAGATACATTAAAAAGATGAAACTTGGCAAAACTGATCATCAAGGTTGGAATGTAAGTGTCAAAAGTTCTTAAAGTGAAACAAAACACTAGTCTCTGAGAAAATGGCATCGCAAGTCAGTATCTCGTGTGTCCGCCATGTGCATTGGTGACTGCCGTGCAACGTTGATACATGGAATGGATGAGGCGGTTGATGAAGGTCATAGGCACTTGAGCCCACACTCTAAGGAACGCCTGACACAGTTCAGCTGCAGTTGTCGGCCTTGGTCGGACGTCATTCAGCCGTCTTTGAATCTCGCCCAACAGATACTCAGTGGGATTTAAATCGGGACTGAGGGCAGGCCACTGCATGGTTCTGATGCCATTCTGCTGGAGGAAGTCTTTGTTGCTCTCGCTGTGTGGGCACGGGCGTTATCAGGCTGAAACTCATGGATGCGGCGACGTGCCAAATGAGGTATGGTGAGTGTTCTCAAGACTTGATCAATGTACCGCTGTGACACCATTGCCTCTCCCTGGACCGATGTTCTGGAAGACCACAGGGCCTGATCCTCTGTGCAAGGCCAATTCCACCCCACACCATGGTGCTCGGATCACCCCACGAGTCTCTCTAAACAACACAAGCATCCGAATAAGGTTCCCCACGGCGTCGCCATACTCTCTCTCTCTCTCTCCCTCTCTCTCTCTCCCTCTCTCTCTCTCTCCGCCATCTGCTGTTAAGATATAGTAACGGCTCTCGTCTGAGAAGAGGACTCTTCACTACTGCTGATGGCGACAATGCTGGTGTTGTGTTGCCCACTGAAGACGGTCAAGGCGATGACGTGGTGTCTGAATGGATCCTCGGTTTGGCCTGTGACAGTGGAGGTGTCAATCATCGATGCACGGTGTCCACATTAATGTGTCGCTGGTGTGTCCCCATGGTCTGTCGAGCAGTTTCCGCAGGAATAACAAAGCGATCTTGAAGATGCTGTCGCACAATCTGACGATCCTGACGTCGGGTGGTGACCCTTGGTCTTCCACTACGTGGTCAGTCATTTGTAGTGTTGGTGGTCTGGTACCGTTGCTGGAGCATGTATATGGTCCTTACGTGGACCTGAAATGCATTGGCTAATTGCCGGGCGTCTTGTCCGGCTTGCAATCGTCAAAGGGCTCAGTGTCGCTGATTTCTTGTCAATCTTGGCATGTGGTAGCAATTCAATAACGAATGAATGTTACCCGATCTGGGTGGATTTTTATAGGGCAAGAAATGGGGAATGCATGTGCATTTCAGTTTCCACGGAACTCACGTGCATCGGGTTACCATGGCCGTTGCCGTGATGTGTTTGGGCGATCGGTTTTATTGTTTCATTTCATTTCATTTTTTCCGGACTAAGCCATGTACAAATTTAGAAACGCTGACAAAAATTACCCTAATATTTAATATATATTATATCTATTTGATAAAAATTGAAGCTGGATCTTTCTGTCACAGTTTCAGATATTATGAAATCACTTCATATGCGTTTGACAAATTCGGCATGTGTCAGTGTTCCCGTAAAAATTACAAGTTTTTCTTTACTCCCTAAACTGTTAAATAATGTATACATGTCCCACACGCCGATCGTCTCTTGCGCTGCATAATTGGAACGCATCATTGCATTAAATATATGCAGAATATCAACAAAAAAAGAGACTTTTTCGATCGAATTTATTTCTGTAATATTCGGCAAAGAGGTAGTATTAATCCAGAAACATACTGTAAATGCAGTAAATTTGTATTTGGCTTTTTGACGGATTAAGTACAATCGCATAAATCTAAATTGAAAATGGAGACGGCTCATTATGAGTGTTTTGATAATTGCAAATATCAAAATAATCATATACAAATACCATTTAGAGCAAAGAAAGCCTACCACGTGGCTCACCAGAGGCATTGTGTATTTTGGTGCGCATATACAAGCAAGGTTAGGCGTAATCAAAAACCATGACTACCCAGTAATGCGTTGTGTGTAATGTAATCTATTCAAGCTACAAAATGTAGATTGTCAATAACGCTTGGTAATATTTGAATAAAAAAAGACATGTATTTGTACATTTTATTCTTAAAATGCAAAAAGCACAACTGAGGATACAATGCACTCTGTCGTCTTGTCGACGCCAGTTACTGATTTTATCTGATTTCGAGGATATAAATTAAGTGTACTGAAACACAAAAAACACTCTAAAACATAACAGGCAACATTTTACCTCAACTATGAAATCATTATTACCTTGTGTGACATTTGTGTGCGATCGAAAAAAGCCAAATCTGACTTTTGTGTGAGGTCCATTACATTCACAATTTAAACATTTTACCAAGTCAACCAAATGTGATGCTCAATTCTCAATGCTTCTTTATGCGTTCAAACGCTTTCGAGATCTAAAAAACAATATATTTTCATATTGTATGGTGGTTACCAGAAGCAATCATTGCATATGGTTTCTGTGAACAAGTATACTTTTCTCAAATTAGAGTTGATATCTAAACGTTTGGTGATAATCTCGAAATCTTTGATATACTTCAACCTGAGTTGTTCATTGCTGCCATGGTATACTATTTTGTAAACGAATCAAACGGAACCGTTATGTCACATATGTATATAAGTATGATTAATCAAAGCGTTTTAAGATCAGAGCAAAGACCCCTGGGCGTGACAAATATTTACACAACTATACACGTACATATCAAGAAATCATGTGGTTGCATATATGTTAATTAAATTTAGTTTTGCAAAAGAAGTAACTTATATGAATGATGCTTAGGCAAATCCAAATAGTATCATGCCAATCAACACATCAAAATAACCGTTAGAACATGTGTAACATACAAAAAGCAACTAAAGAGCCTCCTTAACGAAACGTGTTTGCGTATCCGCAATTCCCCGTAATCAGAAGGAATACCCGAATGCAAACGACAGCCAGTAGCAAAGCTAAAGTATCTATTGACTGGATTTCTGTAAAACTGGTTCCTAAAAAGTGAAACTAAAATCAATATTTTTTATGGAACCCTTACACAACTAGGAAAGCCTTACCGCTCTTAGAGTTCACTTTATGGATATCCCTGTCGACCTACAAATCAACTGTTTATTCTGGAAATTATGTGATAGAACAGAACTATTCAACATTCTAATCAGGGAAACATTATCAATTTCACAATTTTAAGATCACTATCAGAGTTATTTACAATGACAATTTATTAAGCAAGAGGGCAATGAGGTATGAAAGTGTTCTTCATTATGCTAAACAACTCAGCTTTCAAAACGTCATATTTGGAAATATAGCCAGATTGAGTGAGTTGTTTTAATGCACCTTTTAACAGTATTTCAGTTATATTAGCTTAATATGAGAGGAAAGCCCGAAGTGATATAGGCATCGGAACTTTGAAACATAATGAGGGCGAACCGGGTTTCGAATCCACTACCACAGATTTCTAGTGGCAATTGCGGCACCTCAGAGGACTGTGCCACACGATCCGCCGAAATGCGAAGTACTAATCATACATTATATCATCAACAGTTTCCAAAGCTGTGTAACTATCCAGAGGAGGGTGTGGCATCAGACTGTCATACCTGTTGTCAGTTAATCCACCTGGTGCAATGTCAGCATCATCCTCTCTTCCTTCAATTAAGGTCTCATCTGCTACTGTAGTGTTTGCTTCCATCTTCATATCAGAAGACATTTCCATGGTCGCAGGTAACTGTTCCATACCAACATTAATGACAGGAGCATTCAATGTTTCATTAGCTTCATGGGTGATAAAACTTGTTTCTGCAAACACAGTAATAATCCCTACTGCCATATCTCCAGATGCTTTTCCATCAGCCGATACATCTGTAACATCACTACTGGATGTTGAATGAGGGCTGGAGCCAGGCACCGACATGATCATCTCACTTTTAACGACTTCCTCAATGTTGTCATGTTGCTGCACTTGAGCACTCGTTTCTTGTTCATCTTGTGCCTCACAGCTGGTAGTCTGTAGTGGTCTCACTTCTTCGTATTCCCCATCCTCATCCTCATCCACTCTCCCGGAGCTTAGTTCTATAGTTTCTATTTCTCTCTCGTTTCTTGAACCAGATGCAGATGGAATGTTGTCATCACCCGGGATGGTAACAACAGGCTGCATAGTGTTATCAGTGTCATGTTCAGATATACCAGCATCGTCAATTTCAGCATATCCCCGATATTCAATATTTTCTGACATATTTTGCATTGGTGTGATGTGCGATCGGCGTAACCTGTGGAATATACTGATCGTTACAGAAGTATTTATTGAACATGTATACATTAACTATGATCACACGTAATAATATATGCCAGATTCTAACATTTGAAGAATAAAAAAAAAGTACTTACTTCAAATTCCAGTAGTCTAAAAAAAATAATAGGAATAATGACCTTACTGTGAACATAAAACACGAACATATATATGATCAGAGGCATGGACACTGTAATCGTTAACAGTTACTATTCTGAAAATCATAGGTGCATAATGATATCTTGAAAAAGCAACTACATTTGAAACATTGTTTTAAACAAACCAAAAACAAATGTTTTGATTTTATCATTGAAATACAAGAAGACGAAAACGCAAATAGCAATGATGTTAAAGCTATATTAGTGCCTTACCTCTCGGGTTTTCATTGATCAATCTAGATAATCCCACAAAGGGAATAGTTATGAATGGTAGCAAATAGAGACATCAACAAAGGCAATAATGTAAACGTGCACCACCAGTTATTTCAAACAGCATTTATCTTACCTCTGAACTGTTTGAGACGAGAAAGTATCACACCAGCAGTTACGACGATGGTTATAATCACAGCCCCAACAGAACAGCCAACAACAAGAGGAAGGCTCGCCTCTGAAATATAGGCAAGTGAACTTACGCACATGTCACAAACATAATCATAACAATACGAACATTGCATTGAAGTATGCTTCATCTCCGTTTTCAGTTTGTATTGAAACAGATCCACTAATATTCTGGATATTTTACAATTTCATAAATGAATTAAACTGTTCATACCTAATGGTTTGGATGCAGGAATGAAGAAATCGAATGTCGTTTCATTATACTCAACACTGAATATATATGCCCCGAAGTCTACATCGCTGATACTATTAATTACAAGCGAATAGTCAAACACATTGTGTTTTTTATTCTTGGCTGCCAGATGATACTTTGTCATGTCAGTGATGTCTCTTAGATTTCCAGACTGTGTGAAACGCCATTTTGTTTTTGAAGGTCCTGGGTATGAACACAGTGTAAGCCTGATTGTGACTGATGGAGGTTTTCCGTAGGTTACAAACACATTTGATGCTTGTTGTTGTGGCATTCCTGCAAGGAAATATGTACCTTGACTCTAAATAATTTATGAATTGGAAAACATGATTCTAAGTGTATTTCCATTTTCATAAGATAATCAATACTGTTGCAATGATTCACAGACAAGAATGTTTATATATTATTGGAATGAAGTGGATGACCATGAGAAATGAATTTTGAGATGAAGACAAACCGTTCAAGACAACTGCATGTTGTTTCTCTTCTACTGTGCCAGCAACACTTGTGGTGCTACAAAAGTACACTCCAAGTTGGGAACACGTCCTTACAACCATAGCATGTTCATACACATTCTGTTGTTTTCTGGACATATTTACTGTTGCCAAGCTGCTTTCCTGAATAAGATATACAACCTGGGATGAATAACCATCAACTGTACACCTGAAGACGACAACTTGACTGTCTTTCACAGTTGTGTGTGCTGTTCCATTCACTGTTAGTTCTTGAACTTCAGGTTCTGATGAAATATAATAGGGAAAAGGAACAGTTACGCATTACTTCCATTATTTAGATCTAGCTCAGCTGTATTACTCAGTGTCGATGAGGGACTTCTTTATATGTTAAGAAATTTATTCATTGTGGGTTAGATATAAATTACAAATATTTCATTCATCACATGTGACTGTACGGTGAATATACGTCTTACTAGTGACCTAGTCGTGATAGCGTCATAACATTTACGCTAAAAACATTGCTTGCCATTCAGAATCTGCACACACAGCATCTTCCTGAGGCAAGAGAGTTAACTGACTTTAAAAGTCCCGTTTCCACCCTTGCCGAACTAGGCTGGAATTCCTGGGCTCGATCGTAGCGCCACCAGTGGTTATTATAAGTTATGTCCCTTCTATGTCTCTCCCATTGACCAATCAGATTCCACCCCTCGTATCACTTGCATTTGCTTCAAACAAAATTGCGGCGTCGAGTCAAGATTATCTGTGTTAATGTGTTTTATTTTATATTGTGATAAAACGGATCTTACAGCGCGAAGTGCATCAGATTACGTGAGCACCTTGATTAAAAACATGAACAGATTTGGAACAAATCTGTTGACACCGAGTCTGTGGTGCACATGGTTTGCAAATCCTGCCATCGACCGAAATCTGCATGACTGTTTACGAACCGGATTTCGATTTCATTGCGCGGTTTTAACTGGACTATGCATAGACTCGTTAGTTCAGCCAAAATCTAACTCCATAATACCAGCCTAGTTCGGCAAGGGTGGAAACCTGACTTTTAAAGTCAGTTAACTCTGTTGCCTCGGGAGGATGGACACACAGTTGTTCCTGAAATCAACTTTGGGATCAGTGTTGGTTTGACCTGACATTACAGAAACATTAGATCAGGATCGTGTCAGCATTAAGACAGTTTAAGCTGAAATTAATTGGAAACTAAAGTTGTACTGAGTCTTAAACATCCATGTGAAAACAATGGCATTTATTTCAGGTAGTTTATATATTTTAATGAACAAAAATATTTTTTTTAAAATAATTCGACCATTTCTGAACCTGTAACGAATGCCACAAGGCAATGATTGCTTTCATTACAAACGTAATGTTTATGTTGAGTGGAGTAAATTAGAAAGTACGTTATTGACGATGTATTTCGTTGCTCAACTGTATGACGTCAGTGTGTAACTTAAGACAACCCTGAACGTTTCTGGTCTTTTAACTGTTTGTACGCATCTAAAACTGTGAGTGTGATCCCATGAGAACATTGACTTTCCACGCCACAGTCAGACCCCTGTGGATTCTGGTCTGTCGATTACTTGGCTGACTGCATGTCATTGTATGGCAGGTGTATCGAGCGATGCTCATCACTGAACTGAAGGGTACGGAATCGATTAATACAGGCCGTTGTTATGTAGGTAGCATATTGCTGTGTACAAACAAATGATTCCACCTAGCAGTTCAATTACGTCCTGTGCACATGAAATAGTAATTTAGTGTTTAAAATAACTCGGAACATGAAGTCAAGAAACACACAAAAAAGAAAAAAACTTGTGAATCACTGGTATATTCTTTCTCCATCGTTTTACATTCGTAAGCTTTTAAGTAAGCATGTTCGACGGAAGAATGATTGGTGACAGCACACGCTTTGATGAAAATCATATCAGGTCGACTTGACTTGTATTAAATGTATATTACAACTAGTTCATATTTTATTTATATATCTCCCCAACACATTTTTATCTGTTATCTGGCATCCTTTAAACTAATTACTTGTTTCCCACACCGCAGTATGTAAAATAATTCAACACTTGCCTTTGGGTATATACAATATATGATGTATTCACATATTTCCGGATAATTTTCTATACAGAAGTGATACGTTTGTAGCCTTTGGCTGCATAGTAAGTAATATTTCCTTATTTGAAATGTAATTCTACATTCACTTCATTACTTTCGAGCAAACAGGAAATCAAAACACAAAGACACACTTAAAGATACCTTTCCCATAATGAATCAGGCGTAGTTGTGTTTCCTTGTACGGTCACGATATTGACCTCATGTTTATACAAGAGATCTTTAGGAATAAAAAATACTGATTTTCTATCTTACAATACATATACATATATCCGATATTTTCACATAGAAATATCACCTTCATTTCAAATCGATTTTCCTCTCTTACTTGTTCTGTACACATCTTTGGAGATTACATTGATTGCTTTTATAACCCGAAATTGAAAGATGTAAACTCAGCGGAGTTGATAACTGAGCGAGATACGCGATATGGGAGTGAGCAATGGTTGACGTTCTATCATTTAGTTGTACATCTGTGCAGTCTTAATCATAGATACAATTATTTCAGTTATATCACAGCGTGTCAGCTAACTGTTGGAGGAAAGCCCGAAGTGGTGCAGGTCTCAGACGTTTACCACTTCGGTGAAACCAACGATCACGGATTTGGTGCTGGAAAAGCTAAAAACATAATCGGGGCACCCGGTATTCGAACCCAGAACCATAGGTTTCTGTCGTGCCCAAGGGACGCAACTCTGCACAGCGAATCGCGGCGAATTAGACGAATATAATATCAGATACACTTTCTTCATGTCTGAGCATGGTCAGACTGTTAACAAAGTATTTTTGCAATGAGGTTTCCTTGTACTGCTGAAACAATAACAACAGTAAGACCCATGAGATAATCACTTGAGCTCATGAATAGCAGACCCTGGCATGCGTTAGGGGAGCAATTCTATTTTTATTTCCAGTACCTTCAACTACTGGTTTGTCTATGCTATAAAATACGCACAGTACCTAAGGTAGACATGGGACATAACCTTGCTGGTCCTATATAGAATAACGGTGTTATGGACTTAAGTGTGCACCACCCGTGTGATACTGACAACAACGAATTGACTCTTAACAGGCGCGATATCTATGGGTACACAGTACTACATGTACATATTCTGAATGACTATTTCATTATCTGACAGAAGGTCATTCTTTCACATGGACTCTGAAAAATCCAGCTTAGGTTAAGAGCAGGGACATTGAAGAGGACAATTAGGAGATGGGCGTTTAGTTCCGTGAATGTGTATCTGTGAGTTCTATTTCGACAATCACGAGATAGATTTGACCCGTTGACAGTACTGATTGAACTTTTGTAATTTGTTTTGATTACCGATTTGGTTTGGGCGACATACGTGAACTTGTGAAAAAATTTGTATTAACAAAGATAGTATATTTAATAATAAGGATATGCATTCTTATCACGACATGTCCACGGTGCATCTAACTGGTTCCTGCATTCATCACTTACTTGGCAGCATCTCGGGAGCGACTGTATCACTCCAGTCTGATGCCAGGCCGCCCTCCTCTGTAGCCTGGCATGAATAGTTGCCCAGGTCCTCCTGCCTTACATCTGTCACAGCTAATGTTTGTCCTGAGAAGTGGTACCTTCCCCCATTCTCAACCGCTTGTCCATTTCTGAGCCACGTGTATATCATTGAAAGATTATGGTCCTTGGTCGCACTGGAAGAGTTGGTCTCGCACGTCAAAACTATCTTGTTCGTGTTGTCAATGACACTAATGGTCGGTTTAGCGGGTTTTCCTGAAAAAAAGTAAAGCGTTTTAATGTCAGTTGACATGGTTAGAAATTCAAACCTTGACGATAATGGTCTGATGTCTCACCAAATCATCAATGTCGAGGCATTGCCGAGGTCTGTCCGGAGACGTGGTATCTCTCCCCATTCTTATTCTTTTATCCTTTTCTAAAGCAGTATAATTATTTGTACGATTTGCATGTCAAAACGATATTGTTTGTGTTGTCAATGAGATTTTGTTCAGAGGGTTTTCCTTAGAAATTAGTAATATGATTTTTCTTTCAAATGTTATATATATATACTCTTGAACAAAATAGAGAATAATGAAAATTAAATGTTAATACCAAGTACTAAAACAAAGACAGATGACGAACAACACCTTATGCAAGGATGCTAATGTTTGGAAAGCATAACACCAAAACCAATCCGATAGTTTGCACGACGTAGCGCATATCCATTTTAATGGAAAAGTAGTGATTATGAATGAATGAGTTCCAAGCCTATTGTAGTCACATTACATATTTTCCTCAAAATCCATACTTGTTTGAGACGGCTGCGCAAATCTTCAAAAGCAGAAATTCTATTTCAATGTAGATCTTCATCAAAACATTTAACCTTTTTTAAGGAAAATCCGCTCAACCGACCATCAATGTCACTGCCAACATCAACAAGATCGTGATACCAAGTTAACCCCAGGACCATAATCTTTCAATGATAAACACGTGGCTCAGAAACGGACAAGCAATTGAGAATGGGGGAAGGTACCACTTCTCAGAACAAACATTGGCTTTGACAGATGTAAGGTAGGAGGACTAGGGCAACTATTCATGCCAGGCTACAGAGGAGGGCGGCCTTGCCCAGATGCTGCCAAGTAAGTGACGAACGCTTGATCCAGGTAGATGCATCGTCAATCTACCCATCCTCCACACCCTAGGTATATACCTTGCCTGGTTACTTTGACATATGTATTAATCAAAATATTTCCTTTTCAATGTTGATGAATTGTGCTGACTTTGCTCAAGTCTGTGTTTGAATGTGTAAAACCATTCGTTTATCTCAGGTAAATCCACACACAAAACGTCATACATTTTATAGGTTATTGTCTGTGCATCATGCTAATATAGCGTACATCAGTGAATGAACATGTCAAATAAACATGACTTATTTAAAATATAATTAGAGTTATCGTAGCAAGTTCAGTGATGCCAAGAGGTGTGAAAGATGCTCATTCAACAGGGAAACAATATCCATGTCAACAAATTTAAGATCAGTACCAGACAGAGTTATTATTGGATAGTTGTCACCAAAACAGAAGTTGTTCACAAGGTACCGTGAGTGTAAGGTGACGATGTGGAGGCTACCCCCGCCGTTTCAAACGTCGTTTGCACCTCAGTGGAAGGTACCATATTACT